AAGCAGATCCACTGGTACGTCAATCTTTTTAGTATTCGTCAATTTATGCAAAAATACTTTTACACAATTAATTATTTATTTTATTAATATTTTTTTGTCTAAGTTATGATATTTTTTTGTATCGGTTTAATAAGGGATGTTCGGCCGGCATTTTTCCGGCTAACTAATATTACGCTTGTTAAATTTTGTTATTATTAACATAGTTACTAAAAAATTATAGAAATTTAATAAATACATATATTGTTTTTTTATTTTTATAATATTAATCATTCATTAAGCTAATATAGCACTAAATGTGTTGAAAAAATATATAATTTTACGATGTCAAAATTTTAAATAATTTCACGATTTAAGAAAATATCATTATTTTTATTTTTTGTAAAGTAATAATTTATTTAATAATATTTTTTATAAAATATTTAATTATAAAGATAATAATATAAATTGGTATACCTTAACTTGTAATATATATATTATATTATATTAAAAAAATCCATAATATATTATTGATTAATATACTTTTATTATTAGGACAACATTATTATTTAAATATTTATACTAAGGAAAGTCAATGGGATAGGCCAGATAAACCAGCTGATCCATCTGGAAATAATAAGGGAGATGGTCCAGAAGAAGTTCAATGTTCCCATTTGTTAGTAAAACATTCAGGTTCTAGACGACCATCTTCTTGGCGAGAAGAAAATATCACAAGATCAAAGGAAGAAGCTCTTGAACTTATCAAATGTAAGATATCAATGATTCATTTTTTTAATTTTATTATATTAATATATATCATTATATAATTATAATTTTTTTATACATCTTTATAATTTTATATATAAAGCTTACAGAGAACAAATTGTGTCAGGGAAAGCAACATTTGCAGAACTTGCTTCAAAATATAGTGATTGTAGTTCAGCTAAACGAGGTGGAGATTTGGGACCATTTAGTCGAGGTGCAATGCAAAAACCTTTTGAACAAGCAGCATTTGCTCTCAAAGTTGGTGAATTATCTTCACCAGTTCATACAGATAGTGGTATTCATATCATTCAGCGAACAGCATAAAATATACTAATCTCATATAAAATATTAGATACTTTAAAAAAAACTTCTCTCATTTTTGCTAATAAAATATGTTCACAAAGGTAGGAAATTTTCATAATTGTATTCAGAATCACATATGTTTATTTTTTTGATGAATAATTTTTTAAGGGCAAGATATAAATTGTATATTCTTTTCATAATTCAATGTTCAATTATATATTTATGTCTTCCAGCAATTTTAGCCGAAGTAGTATATTACAAAATTTTTATTTAATAATATATCATATGCATCTGCATACAATGAAAACAAAATTTTTAAAAATGATACAAGATAAAGAAGATAAACTTTATGTATACCTTTAAGAATATTTCCTATTCTAATTTATTAGTTTTACATTCCTTAAATGTTAGATACATTAGATTAACCGTTTTTATTGGTTTTTATTGTAAAATATAAAGTGTTTTATAAAGAACAAATATTTAAATTTCTAATCTTTTCCTTTTCTAATTTATTCTAATGTAACATTTGTTTCTTATATCAATCCAATGCATTAATTAAAACAAGTTTGGATATTTGTTAACGAATAAGTATAAATTATATTACAATCTCTTGTATTACAGTAAAAAATTGAATTTTCAATTAAATTGTTAAATAAATTTCAAGTAAAATAATCCAACTAAGATGAATTTAACATAAATAAAATATAAATATGTATAATTACAAAGTTTTTGCTCAAGCACAGATAAATATTCATATTTTAATTTTAACATTATTGCAGCTTATTTTATAAATATACTACTTTTTATGACTCAGAAGACATTTATATACAGTTTAGTTCAAGTATATTTTTATTTTTCTTTTTCATAAAAATACGTAATCATCGTAGAATAATTTAATTTTTATTGATGTATATTTCAATTTTTATTTTAAACTATTTTCTTTAAACACTAAACAAAAATAGAAATATGAATATTCCTAGATTTTTTTAAATGTTATAAATGTGTCATTATAAAGTACATGATTATTTAAAATCAATTAATAATAAATTTTGGTAAAAAAATACATTATATATACTACTGTATTATTTTAATATTTTAATTTAAATGACATATAAAAGAAACTTGTTTAGAGATTATAACTTTGCAACACTCAAGTTTTCTAGTCTTTTATTCATACTAAAAATTTGCTATATTTCTAAAAACTATAAATATTAAATAGGAAAATACATCCTATTTATTATATTAGATATATGTTTTATTATAATAATTATTTCTTACTATTTAGTTTATATATTTAGTTTAATCTATATGTATGTGTAAAATATGTATGTGTGAAATATTTTGTTTCTTATAGAAGATTACATATATTACAAATTAAGATTAATTCTAATCATAATGCAATGCATTTATCTAATTAACAATTTAGCACATTTAAATAATATTAATTAATGTATGGAATTTAAGTTTTTTTTATATAGAATTATTATATGAATATGTGTATTTATACACTGTTTTTATTAGGATCGTTACTTATGGATAAAATACTATTTTCTCAAAACTAATAGTCATGATGATAAATGCATTATATTAATAAATGTATTTAAAAAAGAAATTGCGAAAAGCAAATATATATAATAAACATTACAGTGTAGTTATTCATTTGCGTCCTAAAATGAATAATCGAAGTCGTTTTTTTTTTCATAATAAAAAAAAAATTATAATAATTATGATTATAGTCACGTTTAATGTGACAATAAATTTAATGTCAAATTATTAATTTACTGTATCTGTAATAATGTTATCTATTATTTATATATAATCTTTTAATGTTCAATATAACCAAAGGAAATCCGTTATTCAATCACTTCCCTTTTAGTTGGGAACCCCACATGAAACTAGTTTTAAATCATTATATAATCACAAGTAGGAATATATATTCACTAGGTACCAAGGGGTCAGAATATGATTGGCACAATAATGTAGAGGACGTTACTTACATATCTACAACGTTGTACCACGCTTTAAATATAAACGATTATCGCGGTTCAGTAGGTCAACTTAAAGTGTGATAGTCCTGTATTATGTATATTTTTTCTAGATCACTTTCTTCTTATAAAACAAAAAATTAATTAGTTAGAAACATCATAGAGAAAGGATAGTGTAAAATACATTTATTTTTTTTATTTTTTTAAACGTATTTTATTTTATATATTAATTATTATTACGTATGATATAAATTTATTTATTATCGAATTAAATGTTTTTAAAATGAATAATCAATAATCAATATAATTATTTAATAATTAATTTAATTTTCTTTCATTTTTAACTTGATAATTTGATAATTTATAACTTGATTAATTTGATAATTTATTTAAACAAATTAATCATGGTATTTAAATTCGATATTTATTTTTCGAACGATCTTATGATTAAAATTATATGAATACAGTTTTATTGTTATAAATATAAAAATAAATGATATCAAATAAAAAAATTCTGAATATGATATGCTTCTGCATAAATATAGACTTGTACCCTGCATTTATATTTTAATTGATTCTAAAGTAACGAATGTAAGTATAATTAACGAATGTGTATATATATATATATATATATATA